AAATTGCTCTACTCTTCTTTAACAGTAGGCAACATCAGTATCTTTCCAATTGCTCACTATCTGAACAACTAAAGTTAATAGTTTGCCTACAATTTTAGCATACTTTGTTCATTAGACAAATAAATGCCAAATGACAAAGAAAATAGGTCACGGTCTATAGATAAATCGAAATGTCAGGTCAATGAAAGAGTGTGAGTAAGTCAACTTCTAATTCTTGTCTAATCACCAGGGTAAACCTGGGTCGGAGGTCATATAAATAATGTTCTATATTGCAATACGATATTCACGCGCATAAACAATACGATGACGTAATTCACTAGTGAGTGGCTAGAATTGCTAGTAAACAAATGAAATATGCAAAAACACTGTGAGTTAGACTCACTTAGTTAGACATCAAACAGATGAATCACAATGTTTAACAAGTGGTAGTGTGCCTGAGTGAATAGAAACCACTTACACTTAATAAGGGCTGACACATAAGACTACCATATGATCAAATTAAGAACACATGAGTCAGCTAAAGCATCTCTTTCAATAACTTCACCTCAAAGCCGTACGCTTATTTAGGGCCTTATGTATACAATGTTAGTCAAGAAGAAAAGTCAGAGGTCATTATTAATTAGGATGTCTCAGAGTGTATGAGAAACAACAATGTGTTAGAAATAGCTGAATATCTTATATAATCTAGACAGGGTTGACAACTAATTGGTCAAGTGATGAGTAATCATTTGGAAATAATTGATAGGCAACAGGAGAACATGGAGTTGAAAATGGGTCGCAAAAATAACAAAACTGAAAAGCACACACAGGCTTTAATACGAAGCAGATAAGGAAAATGAAACTGATACTAAGGCGATGGCAGTAGATGAGGCTGGATGAAACCTCTCTGAACACGAAGTTCAGGCTTATCCCTATGGACTACTAGAATTTAAGCCACCTGGAGAGAAATCTTTTTGAACGGCTTGATCCCACTTTTACATGACTCTGAATGACGTCTGCGGTTGCCATTAGATCCAAGCTTCTTTGCTTATTAACTTTGTATTTACACATCCCCAGATAACCGCACAGCTTTTAATTTACTCAGAAAGATATCGTTCATGAGTCGTGCTCGATGTATATATGATAGAATCATCACTTCATAGATGATCATCGCTGATTAACACCCGATTTATTAGTATTCAAGAGTTTAATTTTAGCATAACCGGAATTTTTGGGTTTCAGTCTCCTTGATATATAGAATTTGTAAAACTGTGCAATTTGTGGGTTTCGAAAGCTGCTTGCTTCTATACATAAAACGGTAGTCATTATGATGGTTGACTATCACTTTCGATAATTGACATGAGACTTACATGATACTTACATCCTGTCCCTATCAACATACACCAACCTGTTATATGAACAACACGGAGTAAATTCATACTTCCCTAATGTCTGGAAACTACATCATTCAAAGAGTGTCACGTGTGTAATAAATGCAGTTATCATTGGAGTGCACCTTCCACAGCTGAAATCAATAGATCAAACTGGACCAACTTAATATTTACTAAACAGATGTCTAACAAGTGTTTTAGGCGTTTTAAATTTTGTTTTAAATGGTGCACTTCCGGATTGGCTCGATTTCCACTCTGTGCTATTTCCTTGTTCTGTTAATGAGTGTATTCTATGACTCCGTGGATTAGCCACACCAGCTAGATAAGTTCTACCTTCTTTTCCCTGAATAATCCTAACTTTTTGTTTCATTCAAATATACGGCTCATCAGAGCACATTACTAATTAACTAAGCTTTTTTATTTGCGTCTTGCTATCAGTAATTAAAACTCAGGTAGTGCATTGACTCCTTCGGTAATTAGACATATTACGTTTAGTAAGGCTGATATAGTGTAGCCAGCCGGTCAACGGCACTACCATTACCTGTACTCTGGAATTTCGTACTGGTAAGTGAGTTCCACCAGTTAAGCACTGTCAGCTGTTTAGTCACACAGAACCGAATCCATATTCCCTTCGAGCCACAACAACTTCTATGATACGGGCAGTGAAGAAAGAAGGACAATACGCCATACGCATCCTCCCTAAAATGAAGAGAGCGTATAATCTGAAGATCGAATTGTAATTACACCTATGTGGAAGCAGATAATAAATGCTGATAGGAAACTGACATCAGTGCATGTGGATTCGAGATTTCTCCTGCGACCCAATTACCTCTTCAGTAAATAAGAAACAGTTGCCACAGAATTTTGACTAAAATGGTTTCGAAACCACCATTGTGATTTTCAACTAAAAATTAGCAAACAATTATAGTGTGTCTACTTACTTCTAACCTCGTAAAATAATTTAAGTATAATCTAAGTATTATGCAGAATTTTATTCCCCAGACCTGTCAATATCTTCGATGAACGATTAATCGGTTTTAGTTTAATTAACTCAGATGATATTCATTTTACTAGTAAGTTTTACTGACCAACAGAAATAAATCAATTCCAATTGAAATTATCTATCATAAGTGAGTAGCCATTGAAGATAACACTTGCTCATTAAACTTATGTATATATAGACATTATGGAGACGTGTCTGAAAGCCTCTGAATGAGGAATGTAACTCTTAACAGCGGTGGTACTAGGCACCCGATTGACACCAAACATCCGGTAGGCGTCTTAGTTTTCCCTCAGGATAATAAATGAAGAACCAGTCTTGTTTCTAACAATAATATACGACTTACTGCCAAAAGACATTTCCACGCGTCTGAATACACATACACACACAATGACGAATTCTGTTCCAAATGAGGTGAGGATAGAATGAGATAAGTTAGAGATTAGCGAAGTATTTCACGTGCAGAAATGAAATCTTTCTAAGCAGGTGAATGAGGAGAATTCAGATGAACATATCAAATCCTTAGTGGATGAGAAAGCGAGTGTGCTCTAGCAGCAATTTTGTGACAACGTAATCTCGAAGGAAGCCATGTACGCGATACTGACATACACGGGGAGAATTTCAACAGTGTTTGATCAATAGTGGCAATTAAAGCATGTCTTCTGCAGAAGAAAACATGCTTTCAATATAAATCCTAAAATTATGCTAAAGATAACGTTGCACTCATTAGTATTTAGCAGTAAGCATAAGAAACGAAGGTAAGAGTTATGCAGCTGAAGGTAGTACAGCAATATCTACATGATTTCGAAATCACTGATTGACGCCAGCCAGACAAGCTACACCTCACTAGATGGTTCCAAACAACAATCAATGTCGTCACGAAGGGATGCCATGTTTTAGCTCAACCATCTCCAACTCTTTTCCAACCCAATCGTATGTCAGGTGACACTGCTCGGTGTGGGTGACTACGGAGAGTTCGACACGCAGAAAACGTATTCTCTCCGGGTCAGTCGATGTCCGCTCCTCACCTAGCCCAATCAATGTACGTAGTAAGAGTCAATAGTGAATGTTGCACTACCTTCGTGTTTATAAGTTTCCAGACCGTAGATGTTACGAACTTCCTGGAATTATTCGAGCGCCGAATCACATTCAATCATTATAAATTATTTCAAATAATCCCAGCGTGTTTAAGAAAGAGTCAAAACAGGATTTTTCTGAACGTTTCGCCGTGATTAATAAAGTCAAAATAATTCTCCTGAAGAAGCTGTGGCTTACACAGCCGAACGTCCAGATAAATCTTGTTTTGAATTTTCTTGAACACGCTGGGATTATCTGAAATAATTTACAATGACTCGGTGATTATACTTACAGAATAGAGTTATATATCTCCGATTGCGCCACATATACTTCCAGATCTTCTGTTCTGTTTAGAAAATTCTGTTTTCATTTCAGTGTCACTCGCCCGTCTCTTCTTGACACTGAAAAGTAGTTTCAAAGTTACACCACTTATTGTCATTGTCAAAATACTCTTTCTAGTTAGACTTCTTTCCTGATCAAGATTTCAAACTCTACTCCCTTTCTTCCAAAAACATTCACCTCACTATCTTGTAACTAGTCAGTTCTATCCACATTAAATATTTTCGATACTGTGGCACCACCTTGGACTTCTGCCGTTCATAGTACTTGACAATAACTTGTTGTCAACGTGATAAAGTCTCACAGCTTGTATATTATGGTGTTATTCGGGTGGTGAACACTTGAGAGGAGTCCGCGAAACGATAAAAACGTACTCATATCATCATGCCACATTTGTTTCTCACATTCCGTCTGCTAGTAATAAACCATGCACACTTATTGCTTCCAAGACTAACATTTTAAGGAGACAATCTTTATCCAGTTGGTTGTTTGGTTCGAAATTCCCACAGTAATTCAAAGTCATCGTTATTTTCAAACCCTTACATTATGCTGTCTAGAATGACCATTCAGCTATGGTGAATTTGGCTGCAAGTTAGCGCCTAATTACCGGTTTCGACATAGGTACTCATAACCCTAAATACACAGAAGGCAATGGAACTCATTCATGTATGTCAGGTTTATTTTAGGTGCTTTGAAAGAAAGCTCACCTTCCACAGAAACGTTTTAGCTTTAAGAAAACATCAACTACTCTAATGAACTACAAGTTTCAATCACCTGCTGAACTTATTCCCCTGACATTTAAGCATTAGATTAATGCACAGAGCATACGACCACAATGGCATTTCAACACTATTCATTCCCTCTGATCTACAATGAAACAGTCCTTCACCACCTGTCGTATCCTGCCAGTCGACAATGAAACTGTCACAGCTTGTTCAGCCGTCACTAAACATGAGAAGTAAGACAGCTGTAGCTAGGTTTATTACAGCTAACTTCATACTGATCTTGAACAATGACGAGTGACATGTGAAATTATGAACAAACCAGCGGTTAGCATATAAAACCCGGAAGAATAGGAACCGCATCTTTCCACTCCTATGGATATGGTACTAGTACACAATAAACGAAACAGTCTACCAGGAATCGGCATGCACTCTTAATTTTATCAATCGATATCAATGTAATAAGTAAAACAGCTTCTCACTGAAAACATGACTTTTATTTGAATAAATTGTATACAGTGATCATTAAAGTACTCATACTAAAAATAATAGAAATAATCTAATTTGCGTGTTTATTTGGTTTGTTCTTAGACTTTTTTATCACATATGTTTCGTTAAGTGCCCTCTTTTTTCGCACACCCGCCGAAGCGATTTTCATTTTTTTTATTTGTGAGAACGGTTTTCTAATTTTGCGAACCTTCGGAATGTCATACGTCGCATTTGCTGGTGTAATTATTTTATTCCCAGAACGCACCTGTTCTCCTGAAGAACTGCCTGGAGTCACTGAGCAATCAGAACGCCAAGCCGTATTAATAGGAGTGCTAGTTGCTATCTGATTCGATGCGAGCTTATTATTCTTTATATAAGGCTTTCTATTGCTTGCAATGGGAGAAATATTGAGATCTAGTGGCACCAATGGAGCGTTTTGAACATTGTGCTGTCTCGCATTATCCGGATTTGGCTTAGGTGCTGGTTTCACCGACTTCGCAGCACCAGTGTCTGATTGCATCTAGATTTGTGAAGTAAAATATAAATAAATATGAGGCGATCTAAACAAATGACAGTATATAAGACAAGTATCACTATATTTAGGTACTCAGAGATACTGTCAGTTTGTTGAATTTTGAAAGACTATCCTAACTCAAGCTTTATCATACAATTATAATATTTATCTCTTTACCACCATCCTCATCTCTCATGCCTTCTTTCGCAACACCTTTTCAGTACAACTTAAACAAAATGGAGTGATGGAGAACATAAATTTTGTACTCTAATACCTTAAGAATAGGCTCATTCATCATTTCAGCCACTTATTATACGACAAGTCATCAGTTAATGAAACGTTGAACATTACAAATCACTGCTTATTTACTGCCTTTTCTGAAACTGAAAGTAAACTGTAGTAGTGCTCCTATATTCCTTTTCTCTTTTCTGTCGTATTCTCAATAGTAATTTTGCGTCGATGATTGCTCAGGAACAATAGTATCAGGAAAATCTGATGTAATCGACAATGTCATACAAGGACAGATGATCGGTCAACAGAACAAATTTAGAGTGGGTATTCGCAGAGAGTGACCCAGTACTATACGTTAAAATGATGAGTGAAACCCGGAATTAAGCCACTACATACAAAGTGATTGGACCAGCTTTTCGTGCGCACATAATGGGTCTGTTTATCCGGGTGGACTACCTCGTTAATGGAAAAGTTGACGGTACTTGTCATGTTTAGAAATGTTCCCTACTACGCGCATAAACAAGAGTGCGTTGCCACTTAGAAGTCAGCAAACGCCGACATAGAGATCAGATAACACTCTCAAATGGATTGATACTTTTCTGATATTTTCTATCCCCAAATGTCACTGTTTCACAAGTGGAAGTGAAGTAACAAATAACCGAACATGACACTGCGACTACATATGTTTGAAGACATGGCTACTTTCTGGAGCATTACATGCATATATAAGCTGCGACATCAGTCGAACCATATTCGAACATCAAAACGCCATTACGACCTCCTCACTTACGTATGCTAATATTCAGGAAGATCGTTCAACTGAATAGAAACAAAACACCTAGGTGTCAACCTGCCATCAATACGAATTCACGGTCACGCCTCAGTATTTGAAGATACAAACTCCCCAGGTTAACGCTAACTCATGACAGCATCTTGATAACCAGAAAATCACAGACGATATTTTAGGCCTCAACCCTTCATTGAAGATCCCGGCATTGACGGACTGAATTCTGCTCCATCTGATAAAAGTACAGAAAACCGTATGCATTCGAGATGCAGAGAATTCATGTTCACATGACAAGGTGGTTTGCTTACACTACTTTAATGGCAAATATTTACTGGTTTCGCCAAATGGATATTATATATATATATCTCTGCTGAACACAGGATACTCACACACACAATCCTATACGACCTAAGGAGGAGAAGACGGGCGATTATAACACAAATGGCCAGTAATCGGGTATAGATATAAATGAACTCATGAAATGAAAAGATACCATTACTTACCACTCGAGGTGTAGTAAACAATACTGACAATAATGTTTGTAACCCGATCGACACACACAAACCAGCTCCGCGTATGAATTAGGAGAAGCACACACTAGCTCACACGAAAACCGCAAGCGAGGCAATTGTGCACCTCGACAACTCAGAAGGAGTTATTAATGAAGTGCGTTTCATGTATTGTTTATTCAATATCCAATGTCCAATATCCAATATCGTTTTCACGAGCTAGTATAAACCAATTTGATTTCGTTGTGCTCGCCTCTTCATTGGGAGACAAAGATTCCTGATCATCAGTAACCTTCTGCGTAGCTCGTCCCGCCACTCGACTGTCGTAGCTTTGGTTGACTGCAGAAGGCGTAGTGCTGGGATTAATTATATGTTATTTGTAGTATGCGGTGTGTTAAGACTATTACTACTGTGAATGCAATTGATCCTCTCACCAGTGAGTCCTCCGGTATCGTCGTCAAGAGAAAAGAGATAATGACAATAATAATGGATATAATTAGTGTAGGTTATTCAGGCTAAAATACAGAAAGAGTAATAAAGAGACCGCAGAAACAGACTGCTAATTAAATTTGAAATTGATATACATGTATATAATATCAGCAATAATAATAAGTGTAGTAGTTGGAGTTGTCAAGAGAGTAAGACGAGAGAGAATGTGAAGAAGTAATACGACGAATTTAGTTGTCTACCCCTGAATGGTGTATGGGATTTTAAGGGGATAGGCTATTTGTACTCAGTCCCTGTGTCGCTGCATGATTGGCCAGCCTTCGCTTAAAGATACCTACAGACGGTTTCACAGCTACATCAGCCATGAAGGAGTTTTCGGGAATAGCAAACTCGCAGTGAAGTGAATTGGGAGCACACTCGGGTCCTTGCCCCTTGGTGAGCTATCCTTCTAGGATTTCCACGAGGGAGCCTAACCTACTCAATGGCAGAACACCTTTGCTTGGGTGATTCTGGTCATTTGTTATTTTGTAGGCAATAATTAAATCCCCCCTAAGACGACGATAGCTAATTGTGAATAGGCCTAATTTCTTCAGCCTTTCATTATATGGTTTGTTACGGAGACCAACCACTCCTTTTGTTGCCCGTCGTTGGACTCTTTCCAGGAGGTTGGCGTCTCTTCTAAGCTTTGTGGGTGCAATAATATTATGCACTTCAAGGTGTGGTCTGACGTATGTTTTGTACAACCTTAGAAAGAGCTCGGGAGTGGGTGCACCTAACTGTCTATGTGCAAAGTGTATGACCACATATACCTTCGCTACACCCCCTTGAGCAACTTACGCTTGTGTTCATTTTTTCCGTTAGAACTAGACCTTAGTCGCGTTCCGACGTTGTGCAGGACAAGCTTTCGTTGTGTAAGGTGTCACTTGCATTCCGCAGCCTACATTTTGGTAATTTCGCTACTTTGCATTTTTTTCTGGTCGAAAGTCATGCGACTGGATACCACCCAGTCTTCAAGAGGCTTTAGATCTGCCCGCAGCCTATCTGAGTCTTCTGGACACTTTATCGACCTTCACATCTGTACGTCGTCAGCGTATAAAAAGTGTCAGGCAGCTTAGACGGCATGGTGGGTCAATGATGAATATCAAAAACATCGGTGTCGCTAGGATAGAACCCTGAGACACCCTTGATGACACCCAGTGCCAAGATGAACTGACTCGATCGACCTTATTGTGAAATTTTCTTTCAGTTATGTATTCCTTTAACCATGACTGAAGGGGCTAAGCTATACCTGCCTGACTTATTTTGTGTGGGAAAAGTCATGGGGAACTGTGTCAGATGCCTTCTCAAAGTCTGAGTACCACTTGGAATGGAACATTCATATCCTTGCATGATGTCCGATCGTCCCAAGCTGACAGGAGGTTAGTCACACGCGATCTGCTTTTCCTAATACCGTGTTGCGCTTCATGGAGTCCATTAGTGTGTCAAGGTGTACCTTGATGTGATCATCAGTTATAGTTTCCAGTACTTCGATACCAATGAGAGTAGCGCTAGCTGTCCATAACTGGTAGCATTTCGCCTATCCTCACCCTTCAAAATAGTAGGAAGGATGGCTCTTTCCACTCCCTTGGCGGTTTCCCCAAGTCGATTGAGTGTTAGGACATAAGGGCATAAGGGCCTACAGAGAGTTTCGGCGCACTGTTTCAGAACAGGTGGCCCGATGTCATCACAACCTGGGTACTTTCCAGATGTGAGTCTCTGTAGCTTCCCTGATAGTGTTTCCGGGTTTATTTGGGGAGTAGCCACTTGGTCTTCCTCCGGTAAGACAGTAGTACCACTATTTTGGTCCATGCCTGTAATACACACGTTGCTGTTTAACTGTTTGGCGGAGGCTAAACTGAATGTTTCCGCTATCTCCAGACTGGAGGTCCTGACCGTCTGGATGTACGAAGGCGTATGCCCCCGGGCTGGTTGGTTTACTTACCGACATGAACCGATACAAGATTTTGGGGTCCACCAGAGGATTTTTGGCAAGGTTAGCCTGAAATGAACTCCTATCGCTCCTGATTCTCATGTTCAACCGGTTTCTGAGTCCCGAGTATGCATCGCGGTCAGTTTGACTTTTGGATACTCGCCACGTAAACCAAGCCTTCCGCTTTGCTTGCAGAATACGTTGCGTACGTCTCTTCAGCCATGATGACAATTTTTGGGCTGTCATTACTAAAGATACGGTATCCGAGATTGCTGTGTGAATAATCTCTTTCACCACTTCACAGTGTTCATCAACAGGTAACTCATCACATGCTAGGGGCCATTCTGCGTCGGAGAAAAGCCTCCGCATTTCAGCATTGTACGCTTTGTAATAGCACAGACATCGTCGCGTAACTTCCCACTTCTAGTGCTCACGGAGAACAATATCAAATCCTATGACTGCATGGTCCCTACTTCCCAGAGGAGTCATGATCTGGACCTTTACGACGAGTAGTTGGTCACCAGCTAGAATATAATCTAGTTTCGATAACTTTCCACTAGGGCCCCACCCAGTGTAATCCCCAACGTTCTCAGTCACTCCTGCATTTCTAATGGTTTGCAGTAGATTCCGAACGAATTTCCCTGAGCAAACCCCGGGCCGGTGATGAAGCATCAAAATCTCCAGCTACGTTGATTTGGTCATAGCCCAAGTCCCGTAACACTGTGATGGTGCTGAGTGGTAGCTGGTTGTGCTCTGCCTCGCAGGTGCGTACAACCAGAAATGTAGTGACAGCAACGACATTAGTTGCTTCCGAAGACGATTACCATCATTTTTTGAAATTATTCTGAATTTCTGATTGAATGAGCAAACTGGATCGTTATACTCAATCCTTGTGTACATATCGGCTTCTAGTACAGAGCTGTGTCATTGTCATAAAGTCAGCTTGATTCTGCAGGTTACTGACAAATTGTCAGCAGTTTGTATTATTTTGAGACACTGAGTAATCTATTCCGTTTGAGAAAGTAATTAGTATTCTGCCGAAGTAGTTCAAGTAAGAGCACTAAGGTGCTTTTATTATTAAGAAGGAACACTGTTGGACTAATCGCCTTCCGTATACTACTGACATAAGTGTCACCCTTCTAAGCATTACTGCCCCTGTGAATGCGGAAATATGGAATCCATGGATGATTCCTGAAGTTCTCTGTCCGTATTAATAATATTAATATATATTTTACATAAATTAAACATTTACATGATTGACATACCGTTTATACAGGCTTGATCATATTTGAAAAGTGCAATTTGAAATGGAACAATGTTTTATGACATTAAGAGTTGGAAAAATGGAAAACACCTCTAGAAACTTTAAAAGAATAGATTACAATATATTGGTTTAAGTCTAAATTATAATCTATAGTATACTTATAGTCAGTCAGATTCATGCAGGAATTACGAAATGTTGCGTTAATGGAAGGTAAGAAGAGAGGTGATACACAGATGCTAGAGTAAGACACACAGGATAGAGACCTTTGATCACTGTCATTTTATCAATTAATAAGGGTCCAAAAATTTATAAAACTCCACAGTAGAAGGTATACAGAATTCAGAATGGAATTTTTTCCGTTGTTCATCGTATGTGCCAACAATATTCTGAACAACGCTCAAGCATAACAAACGTAGAAAGCAGCATTACTGTTCATTTGCAACGCTTTAATGCAATAACTTCGAGAAGAGAAGAAAGAATAAAACAGGAAGAGAGGTTCAGAGGCAGCTTGCAAATAATAATAATTCAGGCAAACAATAGGCAATAACCGCAGGATGTACTCCCCGCTTTGCCACTAACAATTTAGTCATTGATTTTTATAGTATTACATACTAACAGTTAGTTCAAGTTTATGTTAGTTAACAACAAAGAAATATAGATTTACAAAATAAATGAAAAATTAGGGCAATAGGAATGATAATGATTTTCACACGAATAGAGGGTAATGGGAATACAAATCAAAGAGGTTAAATACAAACGCCAAAGTATATAAAACATAGGGAAGACAATGACTGCTTGCTCACTGCGTACACCGGTCCCCTACATAATTTCGCTTAGTGTTATGGTAGCTAGGGGGCTCATGTTCAAGAACAGCCGTATGCATTTATTTGTCCCTAAGAAGAGACTCTGCAAACGAGGGAATACGGATTTTGAAGAAATGAATTAATGGGTGGATTGAAAATTGAAGCAAATTTAATGCTTTTTGAAGAATTAATAGTGGTGTCACTGTTCAAGTGATGTTGGCTAACACAGGTGCAAAACCATTTCAGTACTCCAAAGTATATCTTTGCTGACTACCTAATTAACACTTGTAAGGATTCTTGAAATGTTTCCATCTACCTAACCATTAGATATTTAATATATTGTGTCCTGTTACAGTTTACTACTCACCTGTCTTACTCAATGAGATTATGCCACATGGCATATACTGCAACTTCCATCTGCTTAGTCTACCTGTGTACCTTCTCTCCCCCCAAACCCTCTAATGGCAAATCAAGAAAATTTCTAAATATGCGCTCATCAATTTCGTCGAAGAATTTGAAATTATTTGTGATAGGAAATACTTAATTTACAATATTCAGTTTCTGTGACATGCTTTCATAATCATATTGGATAATTTCATTTGAAGTTGGGAGTGGTGTAGTGCACCTACCACGGCATAGAGATGCACATCTGCAGCTAAAACAAGTGGGGCGAACTGAATTAGCCTAAGGCGGAGGTGTTCAGGT